TCGACCTATATTTCCGTAGACACTGGAGAAGAGCACAGTATTAGCTGACCAATTTTGGTCTCGATGGAAGAGTGAATATCTACAAAACCAACTAAGGAGATCAAAATGGAACGAACGTAATCGAAATTTAGCCGTAGGAGATATTGTCTTGGTGGTTGATGCAATTACAAGTGAAAATGACAGACAAGTTCGAAAAGCAAGAATCGTAAGTTGGAAAGATGGGGAAAAGAAATCATATCTAAGACCAATTAACCAATTGGTATATTTAATGAGTACATGAACAAATTCTATAAGTAATAATAGCAAGAACAAACTTTAGCTTATTCTTGGACGAGGAGTGTCACGACTAGGTAATTAGCATTTCAATTACTTTATGGACGCGGGGGCGATGCTATAAAACTTCCTAAAATGCATTGACTTTACTGTTGTTTTAACGCTACCGAACGTTAGTCACTATCCTTCAAAGCAAACTTTATCGGGGAAACGGGGAATATTGTATGCGGAGTTGGAGAACTTATTCGTCTAGTACTAGCAAAGATGTAAGCTACCGTGGTTTATGTTTGTTATATGTTTGTTTGGCTTGTCTATATCCCATCTCATATGTAAATATTATAGCTATCTTGCAATCGCCTTTTATAGTTTTCACCGACTGGTTATCAAGTAAATTTTAGACCGCACAAAGTAGAGCATATTTGGTTTGCCCGTCTGGTTAACACTTCGTTCCCGTCAGCAGGGACACGACACCACCGGACATACCAAGACGATAATGTCGGTTGTCTTTACCTTTTTACAACCTTCGCGGAGAACTTTCTATGTAATAAACAATTATTTGATGGTTTTCGTGTTTGTATTGCCTGATCCAAACACGCAAAATGTTGCGAGAGTTAAGAAAAGCGCGCAAAACACGAGCTTTTCTTAACTCAAGCAACATTCTGTTTGGATCAGGCCATCAAAACACCGGAAACCATTAAGTCATTGTTTATAAAATAAGAACACAACGTAGTGTTCCAAGTTCGATTTCCTTCGCGAATTAAATTTTCGTCTTTCGTTGGCCTTATCCAAACACGGGCTTCGACCAATCAGAACACACGTTATATACATGTTATTTTATAATACTTAATACCTCATTTACACTTAATTACACCATCATCGCGTTATTTTAGTACTGTGCGAATTTTAAAAGAAGTAAGGTATTCAGAAAAAATATATTAGTCTGAGCATTTTATCATCTGGTCTAGTCATCTTTAAAAAGCAATCAATAAAATCTCGAAAAGTAGGAAAACAGTGTGTGTTGTGGAATTCTCGCGACTGTATTCAACCAACCGCGAAAACAAGCGAAACCTGCACCACTTTATATGTTTAATACATATATTTGACAGTACCGATACTTAATTACAGAATCATTCTACCTTTATTACTAAAGATTGGGTTATATTTATATGGGTTTTTAAGGAAACATAACATAGGACCTACGTTAAAGGAAGAACATTTAATTGCTTACATATTTATGATCAACATGTTTATGGGATTAAACCATAGAAATAATAGACATAGAATGTGTACTTATCACGAATACGTGTCTGACATTTTTGTCAAGCTGTGCATTATAAATGCGCCATTTTGAATCTCGCGAGGAGTGAGAAATCTTTTAAAAAAACTTTTAATTCAAAACTTAAATTTTGGGTAAAAGCATATTTTACAGTCAATTATTAGCACACAGAAGCAAAAATGCCAAACCCAGTTCGGCATTAAGTTGCAGAACAGAAAAAAAAACTAGAAAAAGCGACAAGCGATAATCGACAATCGAGAAAGAGTCGATTTTCACCGTTGAACAAACAAAAACAAACCACCGGCCAATCGCCAAATATATTCATTGTTATGTAGGAAATATAGTTATTAGAGAATAATGTTTATTGTAATAGGTTGTCAATTGGTATTGTCTAGCGAATTTTTCAACTGTGCTTTGTTTTTTGAGGATTTTCGCGTTTTTTACATGCAACCGTTTGTTTACATAAATTGTTATTTGGCTTGAACTTGATTATTTGTCCCATAACCTTGCTTTGATGCAACGATAAATGGTTAAAAACCTTTTTGCCTAGCTACGAAAAACATATCACTCTGTATAGATTTTTAACAGGTTTCCACGTAAAAACGAGCGATTTCTGCATAAATAGTTGAAGCCGTGGGAAAAGAAATAACCATGACTATATTTTATTTCGCTTCTCGTGCATTTTGTGAGTAAATAAGAACACATAAAACGAGTTTAATACAATCAAAAACATCATTTAGTGTACCTCAGTACCAGAAGAGATCAAGTGTTAATTATGTACTCCACACTCTAAAAGTTATGCCTTGTCTTTGTGAAGGTAATTTTCATTTTTCACACAAAATAAATACTGCGTTGTAATGTCGACAGCGAAGCAGGATTCCATTTTTTCCGTATTATGACTTATGGTACGCTTGAAACAAGATTGATCAAAAGCTAGGAACAGCTATCAGACTCCATCAGTCAATTCATGAAACAATGTAGTCAAAACCAAAACCAATTAATGCTCCAGTGCGTGAAAAAAACAAAAACAAAAACAAAAACGAGCTTTTTTCTCAAATTCACTCATATTCATATCTCAGTGAACAGCTGGGCATTTTGTACGGAGCATGCGCGAACTTGGCATCCACGCACACGAAACGCCTCGTATATTTAAATAATGGCGGCTGATAGGAGTGAAGATAGTTGAATATCTTTTGCAGTAAAAGAAAGAATTCGGCACTTTACGAAAAGAAGAATATCATGTACGTGTAACTGCTGGTTTTGTTGTATCTTGTGATACAAAACATGGCATTGAGAAAGCCTCCGAATGATCTAAATTAGCAAACAATATGTTGGTTTGTCACACTCACAACTTTGTTCGTCACTTTCGTGTGGAAATTAAGAATTTCAGTCACAATGTGGTCGTCGTTGGTTAGTTAGCAGTTAAGGAAGCATTTATTGCAGGAAGCTTTCAGTCATTTGTCAGCTTTCAGCTGGACATTTACTTAAAAAAGCCACCAGAATCTTCACAGTGGAACTATGGCATGAGAGTATTGAAACCAAAATAGTTATGTTCATTTTATCAGATGTTGATCTTTCCATATTAATCAATTTATAAAATATATACAACTGTGCTATGCAAACAATCTCTACTCCTCTACATCATTTATTTAATAATTTTTATAAAATAAAGTGAAATATGGACAGTTATAGCAACAGTCTCAGGCCAAATTGAGCTCAAACATATATATTTCCACCTCCCTTAGGAAAATGAAAGGTTTTAAAGATTCCCCATTATTGTATTTTGATGCAAGCAATGTTATACTAAATTTTTGCTCAAATAATTTTATTATACTCTAGTTAAATGATCAGAAATAGGAAGTAACATATCCCACAGGCTAATTTATATGTTTGTTTACAGACAAAAAAAAGTATTGTGCGCATTTTTCTCAGCATGCCCACTAACTTTTTTATGACGTTTGAACAATATGGATAGTTTTAAGCCATGTTTCGGAGAGAGGCACTGGTAAAAATTTTAAAATATTTTTATATATGTGCCACATCATCACATAATTTCACAAAGCAAGCATGCCCATATTAAAGTTTGCGGTTAGATTCTTAAAACTTACCCAATCAATAGGACTTTTTATAATTCATAACAACCAATACTTGGACATATTAAAATCACTTTTGCAGCAATTTTTACATCATAACAAACTCATACAGAAGGAAGTTCGTAAGTATGTTACAACATGGCATTTTCAGAGCATAAGTGGTTTGTGAAATTACAACATCTAGAGCATTTTTCCCATGAGTGGCTAATGTTTCAATAAAACAAAACATGATTTAACTTTCATAAAATATACTTTATAACTGAAGGCAAAGGTCAGTTTTCACGAAATCGAAAGAGGAAAAGGTGTTATTTCTATAGAAAAATGCATGTTAAGGTACTTATTATTTCGCGTGAGAAGGGACAAATAGATTAATGAACACACATGTGGAAACAACAATAGGTCAGCTTCTGTCAAGAGTAAAACAGGGTTAATTCGTTGTTTGCATACTGCTGTAACCTGGTCCTGAAACTTTGACAATGAGTGAAATACTTCAACTTGTCGCCCATTTGCAAATAAAAATCCTTCGCAAATATTTACGCGAGAATGTCGTTATACCCTTGTATGCAAGCACGAGAACGTAATATTTGAATACACCCTTTTGTTTCCATGAACAAACCAGTAAAAAAGGAGAAAAAGCTCCTCAAAATACATGTTTTTGGCGTTCGAAGAATTAAAATTCTTCTTGAAGAAATGCGCCCGCAATTTTTAAACAGCGACAACAAAATGCCCAGCTGTTATCTCAGTGTTCATATCTCGCTCCTCGCGACCGCGCACAAAAAACTCCTCGCGGGAGTCTGAAACGAGGAAAAATGCCCTTATAAATCCGCCATTTTTGGAGACAAATTTTTATAAGGGAAGATGTATCAGTACGCATCACTGAGCTCAGTGGTACGCATTCTATGTCTATTATTTCTATGGATTAAACCTATACATTTAGAGGAAAAAACTGTCAATTACAATGCGTGGGCATTGTTACAACTTGACCTTTGATAATAATGCTATAGTTGCCATGCCTTCTATATACAACCATTATAATGACACGTAACAATTTACTGGACAGTGTGTGAAAACCTGATTTTAGTAATTGTAAGGAAAGATTGGTTAGCACCCTGCGCGCTCGTCAAATTTTCTGAAATTTAGTCTGTGCCCAAACGTTTACCTTTTGAAATTACAAATTCGGTGTGGAGTCCGTGGACTTCTTTTTTTCTTGGCCTAAGCCATTCAAGAAAAGATTTTTTATGCATAGATACCTATTTTCGTATCGATATTCGTAGACCAATTAACAAAATGTTAATTAAAATGTTTTTGCTCTTCAACTCTTCCAAGAAAAAATAGTAATGTGTATTTTCTTTGAATAGGTTTTCAATATATGTGAATCACAATGGAAACTGTAAAGAATTTCGTAAAGAGAATGGTTCCTAGTTTCTTTCCGGCTGCTGCTGTATTGAAACCTTTGCCAGCTTCAGCTGAAGATTTTAAGGCCGAACTGAGATCATTTCAAAACCTTGATCGGGACGCCGACCCACCACCTAGAGCAAAACTTTATCACTGCTTGCTATCAAGTGTAAACATCAAACGTCCATTTAATTCTACGATGATTTTGGTGGTAGGAAGTACTGGGGTTGGAAAGTCATCTACGATAAACCATTTACTTGATACAGGAGAAGGAATCCCTGTTGCGCTCACCAGTAGTTCTGAGTCCGAAACTAAAGCGACCAGCGAATACATTCTTACCACTGACGACTCAAATTACGAAGTTTGCGATTTAAAAATGGGTATCATAGATACACCAGGTTTAAACGATACTGCTGGTGTGAAGCAAGATGCTTGTAATTTTGTTTCGATAAAAAGATTTTTCGAAACACATCCAGGCTTACCTGAGCAGTCTATTTATCCTAATCTTGTATTTTTGGTGGTGAACGTGAATGATACCCGGGTCAAGGGTGAGAATAGCAATCTTTCCAAATGTCTTAGAGGGATTAAATTGCTTGAAGTGGTTGACACAAGACATCCAAATCTTGTTGTGGTTGTAACACATTGCTGTTCTGTTGGTTACAAGAATTTGAGTAATTGGAGAGACAAGATAATAGAAAAGAAAGATGCAATTTCGTCTACCGTGTTTGAAGTGCTTGGCGTCTTAGCACCTGTCGTCTTGATAGAAAATGATTTTGAAAGCTATGATCTTAAGAAGACAGGTGATTTTACAATTCTTCCTAATGGCGAGAGACAGCCTAAGAATTTATACGACGCCTGTGCCGAGCTGCTTCATAGAAATAAGGATAATTTTGGCCTGTTGGTGTTTAATTCTTGTTTCACAAGAGCAAAAAAGGATAGGCCAACAGAAGGTCATAAAGTTGAGGCGAAACATTCTAAAAGTGAAGAATTATCTGATGAAGAGGAAGAATTTGCAAATGCTTTTAGCGACGCTGCAAAAGGAGGTAGGAAAAAGAACGTTATAGGTATTTATTTTTTTACAAGTGAGCGGGGGGAATCCAAGCCTTTCCTGTAAACTGATTGCCAGTACCACAGATTACCCAAACAGCTATATAGCTAATCTGTGCCAGTACCAGCGGGCGCGGAGTTTTACGATATGACGATATCTGATCGCGGTCCGGAATCATATATTTTATGCTCGAGCGAAAGCGTATTTTTGTCTTATTCGTTTGACTTTTTTATTTTAAAATATTTGGATCAAATGATTATCACCATAAATTGAACTGAAATTTAGTAAATTAAACAAATGAGGTTTTGATTGTTTATGTTTTTGTCGTCATTGCTGAGTCTGACTCACTGAGCTATACTATAATTCCTGGAGGACTTGCCCGCGACCAAAAAGTGATGCAAAAAACATGGCGGATTTCGGCGTTTTATAGTTTTTTTGTACTGAACTATATCATCATATATCATGTATATTGATGAGCTTATTAGCTTGAACCTACAGTGATGAACTATTAAATCGAAAGCTTCCAGCTGTTCTATACGCGTATTGACAACAACAAGAAGCCTTTTATTTGGCGCCACATAAATCGCAAGGATGTCCAAAACACATACTCTAAAGGGAGATTAGACAATAACATAACATCTCCCCACTAAAGGAATGTACAATGTAGCGAAGCAAATATTGTTCAGCGATAATTGTTCAGCGATATCTTACGGGTTTATTTACAACTTGTCCAGATCTTGTTACAGTATTTGATCTGAGCAGGCCCTCAGTAGGCTGAGATGCAGGCAATGAGGTCTTCGGTTCGGTTCTTGCATATTTGAGGGGGCAGCTCAGTGTGGTCGTCCTGGTCATACTGAATACGAAATTTGTCCTTGCAAGGTAATAAATGACGGCGATTCCTTCTGACGACGTTTGCTTTGCTGTTAAGAATACGATTCGCGCGAGGCTCCTGGCATTTGGGCAACTACCTTTCAAAATTCATCCCATCGCTTTTTCCCGTGAACGCGCATGCGGACAACAGTACTTGGTTCTATGTCTGGCAGATCCTTGGCGTGTTGATTGTAGGCCTGATTGAAGTGTTAGTTAGATTCAAGGACGGTACACTGGTGTAGGGTTGGTTCTTAAAGAGGTGCATTGCTGGAGACACATTTTAAGATCAACAACAAGGTGAGGTATGGATCCTCGTTCGCATCAAATGCCTTCTTGAGCGACTTTTTCAACGTTTGAATCGCTCTCTCGACAAACCCATTTGACTGGGCCGGCGAAGTGGGGGCTTGAAGTAACGTGTTTAAAGTCCCACTCTTTGCAAACTGTTTGAACGCTTGGGCAGTATATTCCGTTCCGTTATCTGTGTAGACTTCCTTAGGTATACCATGACGAGCGAAGATCTTCTTTATTTTGTTGATGACACTTTGGGAAGATTTGTCGATGAGACGTTCGATCTCGATGTATTTTGAGGTGTAGTCGGTAATGATAACATAGTTATGTCCGTACAGCGGGAACAAATCTGACGCAACTTTTGTCCAGGATACTTCAGGAACATTGTGTTGGATGAGGGTTTCTTTTTGTTGCTGGTTACGGTGTGTTAAACAATGCGGGCAACTAGAGACAAGATCATCGATCTCGGAATTCATGCCTGGCCAATATATAGACTGTCGAGCTCAACATCTGGTAATTCCATTGTGACCTTGGTGGATGATTTATTTATTTATTTATTTATTTTATTTACATGCTTTGTCAATTCTGACCAGTGATCCCTACAGAGCTTATTGCTCCATTAATAGGGTACCTAAAATTACATTATACATGCACTAACAACATTTACAAGATAATGGTTATTTCGCTGCCCTCATAGAAACAATCAGACATTGAACAAATTGTATTAGTTTCCTAATATAGTAATATGTTTCAAGAATATTACCAATTTGAACAGTGAAGGCTGAGAAGCTCATTAGAAATATTCTGAGGTCAGCGAATCAACCTTTACAGTACATTTTATCAACAAGTTTACCTAACGGACGACATGAATGACATTTAACACAGATAGTTTCAAAAGATTGCGGAACATCAATGTTATATACCAGTTCAGTCATCTTATTATAATAATCCAATAAGTATGACTTAAATTGTCCAATGGTAACATCTGATCTACGTATATGTGGCGGTAGACTGTTAAAGATTCTAGGAGTTCTGTTGTAATAGCTATTTTGATATGTTAAGGTGTTTACTCTTGGTATGTTTATACTAACGCTATTCAATGTCTCGCTCCTTGTGACACGATTACTTAATTTAACTTCTATGTTTTGAGTGTGTCTCATTTCTTTAAAGAAGTGAATTAAGTGCAGGTACTCATGCCAGTAGCTCAAGGGGAGTAGCCCTGTTTTTAGCAGCCGGTTTTTGTATGACTCTTGTTGCACGTCTTTGAACCTTTTCCATTTCAAGGATAAGAGAAACAGACTGTGGTGACCAGACTTGCGAGCTGTATGCAAATTGACTTCGTACCAAGGTCTTATATAGTGTGCAGCGGATACGAGGATCACTCAGGTTGTTAGAAGATCATCTTACAAACTTCTGTTAGCTTTCATACATACAGCTGATACTTGGTGGTTCCATGGTTATAAAAACCCCGAGGTCCTTTTGCACAGTTCGGTTTTTGATCATTGATGTGATTGAAGGATCGTGATTTGTTAGGTTGTAGCTTGATGGAACTAGCTTTCGATTTCTTGTCACTTAGACTGGTTGAGGCTCACACGCCTCGTCTGGCACCACTGGTTGATTTCGTCGAGATCACTTTAAAGATTGTTAACGTCCTCTGTTGTTTGTATTGCACGATAACACTTGGTATCATCAGCAAATAGCGCTACCGACGATGAAGTCGCCTTTTGTGGTAGATCGTTCACATAAACAAGGAATAATAATGGACCAAGGATTGAACCCTGAGAGAAACCTGACAGCACTGGTATTGATTGTGATGTTGTGCCTAGAACTGTAACTTGCTGATAGCGGTCAGTGAGATAGTTTTCAAACCAGGCCAGTAAGTTACCACCAACCCCAACGCTTTGTAATTTCTTGATGAGTAGTTTATGGTCGACTCTGTCGAATGCTTTAGCAAAGTCTAGGTATAGAATGTCTGTTTGTACTCCTTTATCTAGCGATTTGCCAATCTCATGAAGAACTTGAAGTAACTGTGATGTTGTAGACTTTCCCTTGAGAAAACCAAACTGGAGATTATGCAGTTGGCAGGATAGGTGGTTAATTAGTTGATCGTAGATACAAAGACTTTCGATACAATGGAAAGCAGAGAGATTGGCCGATAATTTGAGACTTCATGCTTTTGACCACTTTTAGGAATAAGTGTTACATTTGATATCTTCCATTCCGCTGGTATTCTTCCTGCATGTAAGCTCTTATTAAATAGATCACTCAGCGATGACGAGATATAGGGTGCGCTGTATTTGAGTAACCTTGCAGGGATTTTATCTGGGCCTGTGGCTTTGCTGACATCAAGCGAGAGGAGAACACGTCTGACACCATCGGAGGAAATGTGGATATCTGTAATTGGTTCACAGGATGAGGTGATCAGAGTTGGATGATTATTATACTCGTCCTGGAAAAGGGGAGGATTAAACATGGAATGGAAGTAGTTGTTTAAAAGGTTTGCAATGTCCTCTGGGTTTTCAGCTGTTATAGTCTCTTCACTTCGTTTCCAGGTCATTTTGCTTGGCACAGTGGACGTTTTTGACACGGATTTAAACAGCGACCAAAATCTCGTTAAGTTGGATAAGTTCTGGAAGAATTTTTTACGTTTTTGTAGAAGTAGGAATTTACAGCAACGGCGAAGTTCACGGAAGGATTCCCAGTGTTTGGTGTTAGATGTTCTTTTCGCTCTTCGTCTAGCTGTTTCCTTTTTCTTCAGTAGTTGTCGAACGTCAATGTCAAACCAAGGTGGAGATTTTAGATTTTCGTTTCTTGATGACTTTGGTAGGAATGTGATGATACACAGGATTCATATAACGATCACACCAACGTTGCCAATCATCGTCAATGTCCCTCGAATTATTTTCTAGGTTGTCAGAGTTGTTAGGGAGTTTTCCGGAACTGTCACTCTTATATTTATCTAAGACTATTGACGAAGAAAGGTCAATTGATGATAGCGTTTTGAATAGAAGCTCCCAGTCTGCAGAACTGTAATCTAGAACCGTTCGCGTGACGCAGGACGATAACTTGGCACATACGTTATATTAAAAAAACAGAAGATTATGGTCGCTGAAATTGTCCATAGCCCTTGGCGATATACACGATATACCAGTAACGGCCTCAGGAGTGTCGGTCAGGATTAAGTCAAGGATGTTTCTTTTTCGCGTCGGAAATGGGTTAGTTTGTTCAAGGAAAAAGTCATTTACGAGATCTCAGAACTTTATAGAATTCGCTGAAACATTTTGGCTGGAGGTAGTGTTATAGTTCCAATTTAATTCAGGAAAATTGAAGTCTCCCGTTATGATAATCTTTTCGTATTTCTCAGCGTCTTGTAAGAATGATTCAAACAGGATACGCCATTCTTCATGATCACAGTTCGGTGGTCTATAGCAAACACACAGAATACACTTCTTTTGTTCTCGAGTGACAATTTCGACAGCTATATTCTAATTGGTCAGACCAAGTCCCCGAAGTAACTCTATTGTACTCTATTCCTTCTCGTAAAGCTAATAGTACACCGCCACCACGTTTGTTGGATGGCCGATCTTTTCTGATGATGTTGTATTCAGAGCAAGGTAATATTTCATGATCACTCACACTGTCATAAAGCCATGTTTCAGTGACTGATATTACATCGAGATTTTCCGAGTAAACAAGGTCTTGAAACGATCTTAGATTACTTGAGAATGTTCCATCTTCTCTTCTGTTGAAGCTTTGAAGACTTTGTGCATTGAATGATAGCCAACGCTGAGTTACAGTTTGGGGTCCAGGATTGGTGGCAATATCGCCAGCGAGTAG